TGGTGAGAAGCCTTCGTTTGTACAATGCTGAATCTACTCGGGGTTTCTGTGATATCATAACGCTTGTTAGATTAAAGTTGTTCTGCTGCGCCTCCAGGCACATTCCGTCTTCTGAGTTTCTCATTCACAGGAAGTGATTCAATTGGTGGTTTAGACTTAGTACATTCTTCATCTTTTGCATGATGGTTAAAGCTTATAATGCGAGGCCTAGTTTTTCAATCCACTCAATGGCCTCTTGAGACGCTTAGTGGAGAAATGAAACACCTCCCAAAAGAGATATTAGTGTTCAAGTTGATACGTTCCATGGCCCGGGGGGTCATCCCTCAATTGTGAGAAAGGCAACCGCCATCGCCTGTGCTCTGTGCGAGTTCAGTTATTTGCGGTTTACCGCCTTCGAGGGGAGGTCTACGCCAGATGGCTGTGCTGCTGGATCAGTGATGAAGGTGTTGTTGGTTCTTTATGTTGCATGCGTGTCCACGATTCCATCTGCCTGGATAATGGGTTGGTGCCTGCTGCACCAATCGTTGCAGCCGATTTACACATTTGCCAGCGTGGTGAGTTTTACGCTCGTTACAGATGCTTCACGGAAACAACAGGGATAGGTTTTCTGAAACCGCCAGGGCTGTCGCATTCACAGGGTCACGACGTTTGTCGACGTCACCCTGAATCACTCCATTCCGTGTGAACCTTCTCCGCAGGTGTGTTGCGCACTGCAGGAGCTGCCGTCTGCCGCCAAGGAGTGTAGAGATGGATTCTACAAAACACCAGACGGAGTCTGCTGTCGGTTGTGCCCTGCGGGTAAACGGCAACACACAGGCACGGAGACTCCCAATCCCTGTGGAACGACAAAGCGTGGTGGCCAGGTGCTTCCTGTCCCCACCAAGTCACAGGCCCTACTCCCGTGGAAAGGAGTCGAACTGGGCCTTGCGTTTCCCCCCCCCACCCCCCCCCCCCCCCCCACCTTGACCTCATCACCATCAGGCTACACAAAGTGGTTCGGTACTTATGAAATAAGTTTTCAGTCGAGCTACTGTACCCCGAACAGAACTTATAACACTGGTTGACTCTCAGTGCAGCCCGCGTCTCTCTGAACCAACTTGTGATCGCTGCGTGTTTGTACCAACGCCTTTGCTTGCTCGCGCTTCGTTGTCCTTCAGGGACGTTCAAGGTGGTGGACTGCATAGACGATGGAAGGAGGGCTTTTTGTGACCTGTGCCCTAAGGACACTTTCATGGACAGAGACAATCAGCAGGGGGAGTGCTCATGGTGCAGCAGCTGTGGTTCAGGTAAGTGGCAGCACAGCAAGTGGGTTGCTGTCATATCTGCAATGGGTTGTGACACTAAATCTTTTGTATGCATGATGGGTGTTTCCTCTTGATACTCCCATTTTAACCGGCATGAAGCAGAAGGCAAAACTTGGCGAGCAAGTGACCAAAACGTTATAAAATTTGAGACAATCCCAGCTCAAACTAAATATTCCGATTGGCCCAAAATCATGATCTTGTCAAGAGACAACGAATGCCTGGGAACTCTCACATGCCACAGAAGATGACATCACAAAACCACATCTTAACTCCATTAGTAGACTCCTTTAGTCATGCTAGGGTTAGTAAATTGTGTCCATTTAACAGACAAATGGCAATGAAAATTGAAATGTGTAATTCTCAGAGTTAGAATTTTCCCAAATTAATTGAAAAATCTATTATAACACGATGGCTTTTTGGTGCAACTACTTAACATCAACTCAGTATAATTTTAGTGAGTCCAACTGAGTCGCAAACGTTGTCTTGGGAGCAACACTTTCATTACATCAACTCAACACAACATAACACAACCTACACTTGGGTATTGAACGCCCACCTAACCACGCTACGGCAGGACTAGACACGGTCCCGCTATCCCGGTCCGGACCACGAGCTGGGTCCCGGATCGTGTGGCTAGAGGCCATCTTCAACCCGACGTGGAACTTCATCACCAGCAACACGAAGAACCCCCAGCCCCTCAAAGAGGGCCCCCGTTATATTGGCCCGGGCTGGGGCTGGCTCCGCCCCTCGCCCCGCCCACCTTCTAGATCTCTCTCTCGAGCTCTTTCCCAAAGGCTCCCCCGAGAGCTCCTCTATACCACGTGACCGCCCAGCGCCCCCCCCCCCGTCCACCGGTGGCCCTCCTCCAATATCATCCGGTCACGTGTCAGCAGGTCAACAGGCGTATCGTGCCCCAACGTAACCCTGGCTGGCTGATGCTCTCTCTCTCGCTCCCTCACCGCACACTGCACGTGGTAGGCCTCCACGCTTACCAGCGCTCACCCAAGCCCCGCTAGGGCCGGTACTAAGCCCAGTAACCGGGTTGCACGTGATGTCGACACATTATCCGCCGTGGCCTCGCAAGCCCGGCACCACACAGTGACAATCACAGTCACTACATAATCACAAGCAGCTGCAATTCAGATTCAAATCCAGAATATTGCATGAATGTTGAAATTCGTTTTCACTATAAATAGCCAACCGTGCTAATCTTAGATTGTGCATAGTGTAGTGTATAATAGTGTAATGTATAGTAGTGTAATGTATAATAGTGTAATGTGTGTGTATGTATGTTTTACGTTTTTTGCACCGTTCGTAGCCAAACCTGCTAGTCGGAGGGTGTGTATAGTGTAGTGTATAGTGTAGTGTATAGAGTAGTGTATAGTGTAGTATATAGTTGTGTACATGTACGTATCCATAATATAGATTGATGGGTTAGATCACGTAAATATCAACGTGTCTTTGAACACTACCCCACCGAAACAGCCAATTCATAAGGCTTGTCACGTAAACAATACATACCAATTAATTCTAGATTTGAAGCTTCCGTGACTGCAAGGATTCATCGTCTTTGGTTTTTTCGGTAAAGTCACGTAGGTAAAATAAAATAAAAAGAAATCAACTAGATTAAATCACGACGTTTTGGAGGCAACACAAGCTTCCGTCTTCAGGTCAGAGTATCCGTTCATCTTTGGGGCCAGATGTACATGTTTTAATTCACTGGCCAGGTGGTGTTGGTAAGAAATGCAATGAGCCCTATGGTATAATGTTTTGATGAGAGAATTCTTTTTAGTCGGGTGGTGGTGGGAATCAGGCTTCAAGTAGGAGTCTGTGTGGGTGGACTTCCTGTAGACAGAATGTCCCAAAGAGCCATCGGTCCTCCTCTCAAACAGAACATCCAAGAATGGCAGCTTGCCATCTTTCTCCACTTCCATGGTGAATTTGATGGATGGGTGTCTGGAATTGATGTGGTCTAGGAAATGGTTCAATGCTGGGAGGCCATGTGGCCAGATGACGAAAGTGTCATCCACATATCTCTTCCATAGGGAAGGGCGAAGGGTGGATGCCTGGATGGCGTCCGATTCAAATTCCTCCATGAAAACATTGGCTATCACTGGTGACAAGGGGGAGCCCATAGGGGTACCCTCATTTTGTTTGTAGAAGGTACCATTCCAGGTAAAGTAAGTGTTGGTGAGGCAATGCCTAACCAGCGCAGGTACATCAGGGTTCAGTCCATGTTGGGCCAAATCTTCAATTATTGTTATGGTGTCAGGCACTGGGACCTTTGGATGTGGTCTCTCTGTTTACCAGGGGCGGGGGGGGGGGGTTATGTTTGCATATCAACACATCAACTACAATGGATATCCATTACCGGATGGTTATTTATAGGGTAATCAGCTTACAGAATGTACATGCACAAAGCACATGCGCAATATATATACATTATGCATGCACATTATGAATATACACCATGCATGCACATAATGCCATTTTTTGAGTGCAAGAAATCACAATGTCTGTTATTGCTGCTCCTAGTTCATCACCATTGACGTATAGTGACCTGTATAGGAATGCAGTTAAACAGTGCAGTGGTATTACTTGATTGTTTACTTCCGCTCACGGCCTTGCCCAGTGACGATTATCTGAACCGGTCCAGGGCCTCCCCTAGGTCGACTCAGCCTGAAAAGAGTACCCGGTGCGGTGTGTAGTAAACATCGCCACTGGGGAGGCAAAGGCGGTCGGGCGTGGTGCTGGCCACCCACCCCCTCGTGTACCGTTACCGGTCTTCATAGGTGGTGCTCGCTAACAGCACTTGCTCCAACAGTCTGTTAAGGCGACACGGGGGATCTTTGTATATGCATGTTGAACTTTCGCACCGTACGTAGCCAACCGTCTGCGCTGAGGCTCATCAACTTTCTCATTGCAGGTCAGCAGGTGGTTGTTAACTGCTCCGTGGCCCAGGACACGGTGTGTCGGTGCACGGAGGGGCTCCAGAGAGACGGCGATTCGGGAATTTGCCTGCCTGAGGAGCCACGCCCAGGTAGTTCCAGGGCTGCAAAGCCACTCAAGTCAACCACAATAAGCTGTTTTGTTTCTCAGCTGACAGTGGGGGCAAGGGACAGCCTGGCAACTGAAACGGCACAAGCTGTCCGCAGAAGAAGAAGCCCGAATTGAAACTCAACCTCATGTCTATTGCAGGCTTCAGGGACTGCATGGCATGGTCAAGCACAGCCACGTGTGATGTTATCAGCTCACTACCCTGTGCAATGCTGAACACCAAATCTGTATTGTCCCTACACAGACGTTTTAGGCTGGAGTCCCCTTGTATACAAATCTGCACACTGGGTAGTAGCGTATTTACTCCTCATTTTAGAGGTTTGTGGTTCAAGCCCAACGGATACGCTAGTTAATTCTACTGGTGTATTCAACAAAATTAAATGCGCCATCAGCTTTACGGTGAATGATAGAGGTCGTTCTTGGGGAAAGGCGAATGATTAAAAAAAAACGTGAAACTGCTGCAAATGATCATTTTTGAAAAAGCGCCTTCACGATATTTTCGTGATGAAAAAAAAATGATAGAAATGATGCAAAGAGCAATGATTTGATGGTTTGATTTTGATAGAGGTTGTGTTAATGCAACGTACTGCATTCGTATTCATCGCAATGTATCACATAGACCTGACAAGTAGGCGGAGAGGGGAGCTGCTGTTCACAGCTTGTTGTTTTTTTCTCCTTCATAAAATCTTCAGACTCCACGCCAGTCGTGTTGGCGGCAGTCCTCATCATCGTCCTGACTGCACTCGTGTTGCTCATAGTTTACTTCAACATGAAGCAGAAGGGGTTGACTTTTAAAACGATGGTGAAGCGATCAGGTAAGTGGTAACGTTCTGTGCTTAATCCAAAGATCACATCCTGCTATTGGGGCTGCAATTATACATCTGCCAAAATGTGTTTCACTCATTATACAGTGAATTAAGATGCGTGGAGAAATCACGTCTCGGCACGAAGCCGCCTCTGAATGCTCTCTGCAGACACCACTGCACAGAATGATGAAAATGAGTTACATCCCTTTTGAGAGCTTTGGCTTCGGTGTCATTTTTAAAAGTCCCTTGGAGAGTGTTGCTACTGGTGACAGTCACCTCTGCCGTGCCTCCACTCATCCGACAATATTTCACACCCGAGTAAAGTCGTGTTGGACAGGACGCTCAATTGAAGCGTCGTCGTTACTTCGTTCTGTGCTTACCGCTCTTGTGACAAAGGGAGGAAGTTGACAATTGTCGAGGTCCCGAGGGGCATCGAGGTAGGATTTGGACTGATTCAAAAACGACTTCAAAACTGTCTGTTCATGGTCTTTAGCCGCAGGTGATGACATCTTCATCTTGGCTATGAAGTTATGCAACTTTACATTCCAGTTAAGGTCTATCCAATCTTTAAATTATAGGAAACATTTAAAGGTTCTCCCTGACTCCAAGATCGCCATGTTTAGTTTTCTGTGTCGAACAATAGAACCGCATCGACTGTGCTATGAATCAGTGATTAACTATCTTCTTTGGTTCTTTCGGTAAAGTCACGTAGACTTTACCGAAAGAACCAAAGAAGATGAATCATTGCAGTCACGAAAGCTTTAAATAGTGATTAACTAATTGTATCTGATTTCTTTCAGACACTACTCATACAAATAATGAGCATGATGAAAGTCTACCGCTTGTTATCGTGAAAAATGAACACGAGGTGACACAAGGAGTTCAGGTAAACTCAACACAGCATAGTGGCATGATGACCCTACTCTACATTGTTTCAGTGTGTAGGCGTGCACCAGTACACTGAAAACTCCATCCCAGACAGACAGAAATAATCGTGACCGTGTCTTCTCCACATGCTACAGAGGAGCAATGAGAGCAGCGAGACAATGCAACAGATCCGAGAGAACAAAGAGAAACTCAAGGCCTGGATCGGAGCGGATCCCTCGGCTTTCCTGGAGCATCTCAACGGCTTCAAATTGATTCCACGACGAGTTCACCAAGCGGCCATCATCAAGGGCGGAGAGGAGAGTGTGGAGCTCGTTCTGGACCACTTCCTCAGCCAGGGAGAGGCGTGCTGTGAGAAGCTGTGGGACTCCCTCTACTCTGTGAGGAAGCAATACGTGCAGCTGTGGAAGTGGATTCAGACACACGGTACGACCCACGTGAACGCACCACAAAAAACAACTACTACTAAACAATTTTTATATTACCAGCTGTAAGGGCCCCGACTGAGCTGCGTATCTCTTTATTTGATAGCAGCTCAACGAAGTAGCTGAGATCATCATCATCATCATCATCATGTGGAAATGTGTAGTCGCAGCCAAATCCTCTAAATGCAGGGTTTTAAATGTGGAGGTGGAAACCAGAGGACTCGGAGAAAAATCCACACGACCAAGGTGAGAGACTCACCGCAGACTCCAAATATACAGCAGCAGGCATCAGGGTTGGGATCGAATCCACGACCTCCTGTATACAAGGCGAGGTAGTTAACATCTAGCCACCGCAGTTTCCCACCAGTATATTGATACTGAATGGATTTTATTAGAATTAAAATCCTCACACTAACATTCTGACTTTAACATCCTGCTAATCCTACACATTAACACAGCTATTTCAATGCCAAATTCTCTCCCCCCTCCGCCGTTCCGAACATAGATGGACTCGTCCGTCTGAACAAAGCTCGTCGCTTTCCGTGGTGCTAATCTCCCAGTTACATGCTAATTTCTGACTTTAACATCCTGCTAATCCAACACATTAACACAGCTATTTCAATGCCAAATTCTCTCCCCCCTCCTCCGTTCCGAACATAGATGGACTCAATTCTAGATTTAAAGCTTTCGTGACTGCAAGGATCCATACTCTTTGGTTCTATTCGGTAAAGTCACCACGTAGGTAAAAAATAAAACAACAAAAATCACGACGTTTCGGCCACAACACAAGCGGCCTTCATCAGGTGAAGGGAGCAGACTCTCCCAAGGACAGCGCTGGAGTGAAACACAGCCAAGCTCACACCGCGACCTTTATGCTGTGTGCGAGGAAACAGAGCAATTCAGATCTACAAGCACAGACACAATTTCAACCGAGAAGATGGTTTCAAATTAAGCAACCATTGGAAAGATGTTCTAAATCGAACCAAACATTAAACTAATTTTCAATGGTACAGTATATTTTTCAAGTAGTGGTACCCCAAACTTTCTCAGCTCTTAAAAATTCCCTTTTCACACCATCAATAGGTAAGCTCCCCCTCCCCCCCTCGCCAACCGGCATGTTCACCCGCATGTACACCACCTCTACACCGTTCATCATGCTAAGTCGGCCAATCAAATGCTAATTTGTTTATGCTAATTCCTTTGTCAAGGCACCTTGTTTCCTCGCACACAGCTTAAAGGTCGCGGTCTGAGCGTGGCTGTGTTTCACTCCAGCGCTGTCCCTGGAACAGTCTGCTCCCTGCACCTGATGAAGGCCGCTTGTGTTGTGACCGAAACGTCGTGATTTTTGTTGTTTTATTTTTTACCTACGTGGTGACTTTACTGAATAGAACCAAAGAGTATAGATGGACTCGTCCGTCTGAACAAAGCTCGTCGCTTTCCGTGGTGCTAATCTCCCAGTTACATGCAAATTTCTGACTTTAACATCCTGCTAATCCAACACATTAACATGGCTATTTCAATGCTAAATCCTTCTGTTGATATGTAAACTCTGACTTTAACATAGCTACTTCCGTGACCAGTCACATGCTGATCCCTCACACTAACTTCATGCTAATCTCCCAGTTACATGCTAATTTCTGACTTTAACATCCTGCTAATCCAACACATTAACACGGCTATTTCAATGCTAAATCCTTCTGTTGATATGTAAACTCCTTCGTCAAGGCGCTCTGCTCCTCCCACCCAGCTTAAAAGACGCTGCCAAGCTTAGCAGTGTTCACTGAAGCGCCGTCTTCCCGACAGTTCTGTTTCTTCACCTGAGGAAGGCTACTTGTGTCGTGGCCGAAACGTCGTGAGAAGTTTATTTTTTAAAAGTTAAATTTTTATTATTTTATTATTTCCATTCTACGTGGTGACTTTACCGAAAGAACCAAAGAAGATGAATCCCTGCAGTCACGAAAGCTTTAAATCGAGATGTTGTTAGAGTCAAGGAGGGAAAAATGGGGATATGCGTTGTTTTTGTAATGCTTTTCAACACGAGCTCGTCCTCGGGGGAAGTAATTAGCGACAATAACGCGACGTTTAAAGCCGCACAAGAATGACGCGACGCTACGTGTGGCTGAACAACGTCACGTTACGATTGAGTGTTTGAATACCGATGTGAACTTAAATATGTTATATGTTGTGCCTTGATTACGGAAGCACAATTGTAGCTGAATAGGATGTAGAATCACGTAAAATCTGTGTTAAACGATTCGTTTGAAATTCATATGAGCCTCTGTCGATCGCAGGCGAGGCGTTGAGGGCCATTCGAGATAAGGAGTCGGATCTGAAGCTCTGGATCGCCAGAGACCCCAAGCATCTTCTGCTGCAGCTGATGAGTCGGGGACGGATCCCGAACGAGCTCTTCACCGAGGCCAAGGGCATCCGGGATGGCGCGGAGTGCGCGGAGCTGCTGCTCAGCTTCTTCAAAGAGAGAGGGAATGACGACTGCCTCAAGTTGCTCTTTGCCCTGCAGGCCGTGCAGGATCATTATCCTGGAGTCAAGGAGTGGCTGGACGGCCTTGGTAGTAAAACAATCTTTGAGACACCTTCCACCACTTTCATGTTAACCAGCCATCATCCCTTCCAGTGACATGTCCTGCCCAAGTGTAGCATGTGCGAGCTCAGCCGCGATGGATCGCACGTATACGTTGTGCCCTCTGCTAATTGCTGCGGAGAGCCAGGCGCGTTTATTTAATTATTATAAGTGTAGTGTTCGATTTCACTCGGACAACTTTTGTCCTTCTTCGAACACCGCTTTATTTACAACTCTCCGCACGTCCTCCACATTCCACGGTATCCTGGTCGCCACGGCTCGCTCGCCGTTCTTCACTCGGCTCACTCGCCACCTTTGTCTCTCCACTCCCCCACGATTACTTCGCTTACTCCACCGCTAACCACTTCGTCTCCGCTCTCCGCTATCACCGTCGCTACGCTCTCTCCACTGCTGGCTGCTTCTCTTCTTCAGCTCCGCTATCGTTACGCTCTCTCTACTGCTAGCTGATTCTGTTTTTCAGCTCCGCTCCACACTCTGTTTCCAAACTCTGTCTCCCAACTCTGTCTCCCAACTCTGTCCCCAAAACTCTGTCTCCAAACTCTGTCTCCAAACTCTGTCTCCCAACTCTGTCCCCAAAACTCTGTCTCCCAACTCTGTCCCCAAAACTCTGTCTCCAAACTCTGTCTCCAAACTCTGTCTCCCAAATCTGTCTCCAAACTCTGTCTCTGAAATCTGTCTCCTAACTCTGTCTCCAAACTCTGTCTCCGAACTCTGTCTCCCAACTCTGTCTCCAAACTCTGTCTCTGAAATCTGTCTCCCAACTCTGTCTCCGAACTCTGTCTCCCAACTCTGTCTCCAAACTATGTCTCCAAACTCTGTCTCCAAACTCTGTCTCCAAACTCTGTCTCTGAAATCTGTCTCCCAACTCTGTCTCCAAACTCTGTCTCCGAACTCTGTCTCCCAACTCTGTCTCCAAACTCTGTCTCTGAAATCTGTCTCCCAACTCTGTCTCCGAACTCTGTCTCCAAACTCTGTCTCCCAACTCTGTCTCCGAACTCTGTCTCCAAACTCTGTCTCCCAACTCTGTCTCCCAACTCTGTCTCCAAACTCTGTCTCCCAACTCTGTCTCCAAACTCTGTCTCCAAACTCTGTCTCCAAACTCTGTCTCCCAACTCTGTCCCCAAAACTCTGTCTCCAAAACTCTGTCTCCAAACTCTGTCTCCAAACTCTGTCTCCCAACTCTGTCTCCAAACTCTGTCTCCAAACTCTGTCTCCAAAACTCTGTCTCCAAACTCTGTCTCCAAACTCTGTCTCCCAAACTCTGTCTCCAAACTCTGTCTCCAAACTCTGTCTCCCAACTCTGTCTCCCAACTCTGTCTCCGAACTCTGTCTCCAAACTCTGTCTCCCAACTCTGTCTCCCAACTCTGTCTCCAAACTCTGTCTCCAAACTCTGTCTCCAAACTCTGTCTCTGAACTCTGTCTCCCAACTCTGTCTCCAAACTCTGTCTCCAAACTCTGTCTCCCAACTCTGTCTCCCAACTCTGTCTCCAAACTCTGTCTCCCAACTCTGTCTCCCAACTCTGTCTCCCAACTCTGTCTCCAAAACTCTGTCTCCAAACTCTGTCTCCCAACTCTGTCTCCAAACTCTGTCTCCAAACTCTGTCTCCCAACTCTGTCTCCAAACTCTGTCTCCAAACTCTGTCTCCCAACTCTGTCTCCAAACTCTGTCTCCAAACTCTGTCTCCCAACTCTGTCTCCCAACTCTGTCTCCCAACTCTGTCTCCAAACTCTGTCTCCAAACTCTGTTTCCGAATTCTGTCTCTGAACTCTGTCTCTGAAATCTGTTTCCAAACTCTGTCTCCCAACTCTGTCTCTGAACTCTGTCTCTGAAATCTGTCTCCAAACTCTGTCTCCAAACTCTGTCTCCCAACTCTGTCTCCCAACTCTGTCTCCCAACTCTGTCTCCAAACTCTGTCTCCGAACTCTGTCTCTGAACTCTGTCTCCAAACTCTGTCTCCCAACTCTGTCTCCAAACTCTGTCTCTGAACTCTGTCTCCCAACTCTGTCTCCAAACTCTGTCTCTGAACTCTGTCTCTGAACTCTGTCTCCAAACTCTGTCTCCAAACTCTGTCTCCAAACTCTGTCTCTGAAATCTGTCTCCCAACTCTGTCTCCGAACTCTGTCTCCAAACTCTGTCTCCCAACTCTGTCTCCAAACTCTGTCTCTGAAATCTGTCTCCCAACTCTGTCTCCAAACTCTGTCTCCCAACTCTGTCTCCAAACTCTGTCTCCCAACTCTGTCTACATACTCTCCTCTGCTGCTCCGCGTCTTTCCTCGTCCAGCTCCCAACCCCAACTCCCTCTCCAATTCCCGACTCCCCAATCTATCCACGCTCTCATCACACCCCAAATTAATCAACCCGCGTCCCAACGGCGTTTTCGCGCGCCCCGTGCACCTGTTGCTTCGCCAGACTTCAAGACGCCACTCCAGCCTTGACAACAACACCAATCAATCACAGCCGTATTTTTGCTCCCCCAGCTTAATTGTCCTAACATGACCCGTACCGTCTTTGTTTCCATGCATTCACACTGTTTGCGCTACGCACCTTCCTACTCCACTACACAAGTGAAGGCAATGATGATCAGAGATAGGATTCCCCTCCAAGCCTCACGCGCACAGCAGCGTGTAGACTATTCAGAGTAGAGGGCACGCCTCCAATTCAGATTTGGGTTGGGCTACATGCTGCTGAGATTACAAATTACATTAGCTCAATTCCAACATAAAAATGCAACAGTAAAATTAATATTACATTAATGTAATGTTAATGAATCGACTGACAGGAACTCTGTTAATGTTAAGTGACTGTTGATCGGGGTAATCGCTTGCATCGCAACCGAAACGTCGTGATATATTATTGTTTTCTTAGTTTTTTCGGTAAAGTCACGTTGAAGAGAAACAACAAAATAGTAAAATATATATAAAACAATAAAAAATTCTCACGACGTTTCGACCATAACTCAAACGGTCATCTTCAGGTGTGTGAAGGCAATGATGATCAGGTGTGTGAAGATGACCGTTTGAGTTATGGTCGAAACGTCGTGAGAATTTTTTATTGTTTTATATATATATATTATTATTTTGTTGTTTCTCTTCAACGTGGTGACTTTACCGAAAAAACTAAGAATATGAATTACTGCAGTCACGAAAGCTTTAAATCAAAATATTATTGTTTGTTTTATTTTATTTTCTACCTACGTGACTTTACTGACAGAACCAAAGAGTATGGTGATAAAGATATTCACGATTAAGACTTTGATATTAACGTTGATTTAAATATGTAAAATACTCATCACAATTGGGTCTAGAGTATTAGCACTAGGTGTTCAGTCCCATCAACAGAGGGACTGAGCTGAGGTGTCGTTGTGACGTGTAGCGTGATCAGTGGTGGTGGCGTGTTGGGTCACGATCGTAGGCAAGGCAAATGCCCCTCGGAGGAGGCACTTTGAAGTGGCAATTTCACAAACCTCTGATGCTCAGATGTTGTGGAGTCGCCCTCACTTCTCCGGAGGACAGAAACACAACGCGGAGACACAACTCATCATTGATTCCGAACTTTATTATTGTTAGTTTAACACGTAGGAGTCGTTGGCATACGCGACCCATTTGTATCCACAGTGGAGTTTTTTTTTTTGGGGGTGGGATTGCATAAATATCAATGTGTCGTTAAGCCCGTAGCTATAGGCCTCGTGCTGCTTGGAGGCGTATTGTTAAGTGGTACGCTCTTTAACTGCATGCCATATACAGATCACCATACGTGGATGGTGATTGCCTCTGAGCAGCCAATAGCTGGTGTTGCAATTTTTTTCCACACAAAAAGGGCAGGACGTACATCGTGTGCATGCATGATATGCATGCACACGATGTACATGCATTATGTATGTTGATTCATTGTGCATAATCAAACCAATAATGGATATCCGTGGTCATTTATGTGACTAAATTAACCCCCTCCCTCCGGTTCTCGCAACCCGATTATCTCACAAATCGCGACATCACATTTATCCCTCTTCGATTTAAGATTAAAAAAAATGGATTTCTCCACAACTCTTACTAATTGGCTGCGTCACATTATTCTTTTTTCGCAATCTAACCCAATAACCTCTTATGGATAAAATATTCTAGAGGGCTAACATTATGATGTTCAGCTGTCCAAAAGCACTCCAACCTGCTCTCGTCCACCCCTGAAGGCTGATTCACTGCGTTCGGTGTCCCATCTGTGGTGCCGCAGACTTCCTCAGGAGACTCTCTAAATCCCACGTGGTTCTGAACAGCTACAGCGACTTTGTCCTCCGAGACAAAATCCGCTTCAAGACGAGGGAGCTCCTCGTGGCGCTGCGCGACGACCTGACGCCTCTGCTCTCCCAACTGCAGATCAGGAACATCCTCACCGACAACAGCGTGCGGGTAAAGTCCAACTAAGATCATCGTCATCACAATCACGATCGTTATTTATAATATCGTGAATAGCTGTTTGGTATTCGGACACCGAGGTCTCGAACTGTCACCGCCTCGGTGTGGAACTCTGTCCCATTGGACATCCGCAACATCAAATGCACTCTGACTTTTAATTATTATTATATATATAAAAAAAACAATATTGGCCAAGTAATAACAATGACGTAACGCGCCAGATTTTAGTGGCGTGTATCATGAGGTGAGGCTGTGACGGTTCTAGACCTTTTGGTGTCCGAAGAAGATTTGGATCGACGCTGCTGTGTAGAGTTCTACCACGAGCCTTCGGTGCGAGGCGAGAGTAGTGGGGCGAGGTGTGGTGGTGGCCGAAACTGGCGGTGACAAATGCAGGCGACTATTATCATTTGTCCTTTGCTGGGGAAAGGGAGACATTGAAGAGCACGGAGAACAATGGCCGAGTCGAGTCGTGGGTTGGTGGATACCAAGGGGCGACATGAGGGAGGTGTTTTTGATGCCGCGATCACAAACCCGTGGACTTCTTCTTCTTCTTCTTCTTCTCACACAGCTTAAAGGTCGTGATCTGAACGTGGCTTCTTCCACTCCAGCGCTGTCCTACCAGACAGTCTCGTCCCTTCACCTGATGAAGGCCGCTTGTGTTGTGGCCGAAACGTCGTGAGAATTTTGTTATTTTCTTTTCACCTACGTACGTGACT